AGTTACATCAAATGGTTTTTAAATTTCTGAAAATGTTTTTTAAATTTCTGAAAACGGTTTAGGCGTTTTTGAGAAAACGTCGATCAAAGGTCTATTTTGACAAATGCCAAAAGAACGATACTAATTTTTGCAAACTTTGAAGAATTTTCAAAATTAAACGACTTGTAGTTCCGTAATAATTTAGTATGATCTAGAAGACTATGATATCTACCGTCAAATAAAAATCATTAAAATCGTCGAAATTTTTTTTAACACTTTATTACAAGAAAACGGCCCGGCCGATCTCCACTAAAAACTAACCATCATGATTCTCAACCGATACCTTTGGAACAGTTTTTGAATTTTCAAAATCGGTTGAGAATTGCGGGCTAAAACGTGGACGAAATTTTTTTCACTTTTCTGCGATATACAAAAAAACGGCTTGGCTGATCGGCGCGCAAATTTGATAATTTCTAGTCCTCAACGAGATACTTCGAATGGCTTTCAAATTTTTGAAATCGGTTTAGTCGATTTTGCGAAAACGTCGATTTTCGGCAAAAAATCTTCTCACATACACATACATACATACTTTTTCCAAATTTGGTCTCATTTGATTCAGATTGGCTTGAAACGTCGAGAAAACATAAAATTAGCGAATCGGATTTTACATGAAAACATGAACTTCTCTTTCGGGAAGTTAATAAATTTTTAGAAAGTCAGGTCAGTCAGTCAAAAATTTTCAAAAATTTAGATTTTTTAAAGTTTTTAAAAAACTTTGAAGCTTTTTTGACAATTTTATTTTTTGGTATGGGAAGTTCCAGCGATTTGTCTTAAGACGCGATGCCATGCACCAATAGTTAAAATTAAACTGTCGTAGAGCCGTAAAATTGTAGGACTATTATATCAATCACTAAAAATAATTCATAAAAGTCGTCAAAAAAATTATTTTTGAAGAAAACCAAATCCAAACCAACCAAAATTCACCAAAATCTAATCGGATTATTCATAACCAATATCTTTCGACAGTTTTGCCACAAGACCACATTTTTGCCTTTGGTTTAACAAAAGACACTATATATTATCCATTTCTACTTTTATCGGAAACAAATTTCCCTACTCCGGAAAATCATTCCACCATCGCGAAAGCTCAAAATTATTTATAACTCTTTCTTCCTAATATCTTTCTGTTTTATATGACGCATGATTCGCTATTACCGCATTTGATATCTGAAAGGATCGATAAGACATTCATACATGACGACTTCTTTGATGTCTGTTCAGTAGGTTCTAGGTATACCTACAACCTACCTCCATCGAGGCATTTGCGGTAAGATGGGGCGCGCGATGGCGCTCCCCCGCGTGTTTCGTATGTATGACATACTTTATGTGCGATGTCGTGGTTGCCGCTTCATTTTTATGAACATAAACCAATGGTGCTCAATAAAAATAAAAGTATTATTGACGGTAAAATCGAATATGGATATGTGATATGTTTGACGATATTGAAAGTTTACAACGCGGTAAAATTGAAGAAAGTATGATTTTATATCGGAGGTTACGGTTTTCATATTTGTTTCGGATAGCCTGATGTCAAGCAGTAGTAACATCGGTTTTGTACTTCAAAATATAGATGACAATGTGTCTTCAAGTACAAATAGTCCTTATATTGCTGCATCAATTAATCTAAATTTAATTACAGAAATTGTAATAATAAATTTATCATATATACCATCTATAAAAAGCCAACACAATGCTCATAGAACTCGTTAAATTCTGATTGCTCGTAAAATATAAAAATTATTTATGTTCAAAGATAGTAAATATTAAATGCATAGAAACATTTTTAAGATACATATATGTATCCTATATATATACATATATAACCTTTTTAGGATACATATATGTATCCTATATCTATATACATATATGTATCCTATATATAGTCTTTTAAATTAATTTATATTCTGGAGAAAAAAGTATGATTTTTTTAATTTGTTCATTTTATTTATATCATAGCAGTGGAATCAGAGTTCAAGAATTTTATAAAGTGTTGTGCAGGTATTTCTCATATAGTTTACTTTCAAGAAGGCAACTCAATGGTTGACTTATTCATATTTGTTAATGTATTATTATTACAAGTAATAATTCTAAGGCAAAGTCTATTTAAACTTGTAAACATTTTAATTTTTCAAAAATTAATTCTTCACAGATTGAAAATTCTAATATTTAATGAATTCAAAAATGTTCACTCGAATTTATAAGTTCAAGTCATTAAATTTTTTGCCTAACATTGTATATGCAATAAAATTTATTTGAACGCCTTCACTGTACACTCGTAAACTAAAGTTTTATATAAGTATTTTGAAAAATAATTTATTTAATATTTATTTTATTTAATATTTTTACAATTATTTTTATTTATTTTATTATATTCATAATTCACTTCGTATCTCAATTCTACTTTTCTATTTCCAAATGCAAAATTTAGCCACAAATTAAAGTTCAATTACAATTTATTGCTGGAATCTTTGGTCAAACTAATATGAGTTTTTACAATTTAATTGAAATTGCAAGATTTTTATTTAATAAATAAAAAAACATTGATTTTATATTTTGTTCATAATAATTTTTCTGTTCAAATAAAGAAGGCACAGCAAATTATTCAATTAAAATATAAATCAACTAAAATTCACGTAAAGTGGCAAGTTTTTTTTATCTTTGTTCAAACTAAAATAATTCTTTACAATTTAATTGAAATTGCAAAATTTTTATCTAATGAATTAACAAATTTTGATTAATATTTTATTAAATTGTTCTGTTCAAATACAAAACTGCACAACAAATTATTCAACAAAAATATAAATCAACAAAAATTCACATAAAATGGAAAGTTTTTCATTTTGTTAATGTCTGTCTACAACGTGGTCTATCATAAACTAGTCCGGGCTTCAATGCCAAACTTTGTCCAGCTCGATATCAAGCAGTATGATAACGAATTTATTCTTGCGGTTATAGATCTCAAGTCAAAATCGCCTTTCGTGGTTACTTCATGCATGCACACAAAATTTGATATACATTAGGGTGGTCCTTTATATGGATGTTTTCGAATTTCTTTGCTCCCAGGTGCTCAAATGCTTCCAAGTTGATGAAACAAAATTTACTGAAAATTTTAGCTATTAATATGAACTTTAAGATAATCCGCACTCCAACCAAAATTTCTTGATTCTTTTTCTAAAGTAAATACTTAATAAAATATACCAAAATTTTGTTGTAATTGTTTATTTATGATAAAAAATAAGCAAATACAATGTTATTTTCAAAATTTTGATTCACTTGTCGCCAAGTAATAAAATTCTAAAAAGCAAATGGATTTTACTCATGTTATTTTCATAAGAAATTTTGGTTGGAGTGCGGATTATCTTAAAGTTCATATTAATAGCTAAATCTTTCAGTAAATTTTGTTTCATCAATTTGGAAGCAAAATATTAAGAGCTAAATATTTTAGAGTATTTCTGGAAGCATTTGAGCTCCTGGAAGCAATTTTTTTTTAATCCATATTAGGCACCACCCTAATATACATAACTAGTATATACGTAAAAAATGACATTAGAAAGTAATAGTGAAATATATGTATAAGTAATGTGATATTTATTATATATTTGAGAATCTTTCTATTATTTCGTTTGATGTGGTCTGTACATGTTACCACAGACGCGGAATAACAAAGCGATTTATTTCTGGGATCATCAATATTTCCAGATACCTGATACGTCAGTTTTTACTAGGCATAAGAATTTCATACATACAGATAAATATAGAAACACATTTCTCAATGATGCGAATAGCTATAGTTCAAGATACAAGATACAGATTTGACGAAAATAGAAATAAAATCCGATTAAAAAAATCCGGAATAAAAATAAAAACTAGTATACATGGCTGGAACTTAATAATAAATAATTAAATCAATTCCAAAGTCGAACAATTCTGCCTCAAGTTACAATGCACCACTAGTAAATTTTTGAAAGGTACCACTAGTGATACTAAGAAAACGTCGAATTTTATGTAAAACCATGAAAAATGCCAAATGTATTGTATTAGCCCAAGCAATAAATTGTATAACAAATATTGTATATACCAAATTTTTCTTAATAAACCTGATACAGAAAACTAAAACTTTCATGTGAATAGCACTTTACATATGAATGAGAAAACCTTAAGCATATTTCCAACAAATAATTCTTAATAATTGTATGACATTTACAAAAACATTGACCGATAAATTTGCAAGACCTTGTCATTTGCTTGCGAAATACCGTCTGTTTAATTTCCAAAGGATTTACAAAACAATAATATAGATGAGAATAAAAATCAGGTACACCAATCCAGTTACGATATCGATATGTTGAAGTTATGGCAAATTTTGAGCTACGGACTTCATTTGGTTCCTGCATTTCGTGGGCATCGGAACAAAGGCGTGTCGACCCGGCGCCAAATGCACCGGGTCGATTCGTCGCATGTTACGGATGCCGAAAAAATCAGGGCCGTTTTTGTAAGTGTAAGTTTTGATTGTTAGTGGTATATTAATGATTGTGTTTGGATGCTGCAGTTGGAACTAGATAATAAATGAGTATTGTGTTTATTAAATTGAATATTAGCTTTAGTTGCGTAACACAATAGTGTTCTATTGTGTACATTAAATTTATTTTACAATTTTGTAGATTTTCTGAATTTATGCTATTTCATCAATATTTTTGCAGTCCAATTTTTTTATTCGGTCACAATGCACATTATAAATCTTTCAAATTAGTTGTAAATCCAATAGTGTCATAGTTTTATGTCAGAATTTTATGCCAAATTGCGAATTCCGTCAAATAGATGGGTCTTACAAAACTAGTGTTAACACAAATTATTTTCAAATTTAGCGGTTTTATACTTACAATTTTAGAGTTAGGTTCTGCTTTACTTCAGTATAGTTTTTATTTGGACTTTGGACGATCACAATCACTTTAGTTGCAAGTGTCATGTTGAGCTTCTGTCGTGAATTATTAAGAAATAATATTGTGTGTAAGTGTTTGTGAGTGAGTGACTAGTGTTTTATTGCCAAGAAATATTAAAGAAACTAAAGGTAATTTTGACAAATTATATTTATAATTTTGTTCGTCGTCATGGATTATTATTTAATTTTTTGCTGCACAAGTGACTATATTTTTAACATTACTACACGCGTCGGAGAAATTTTTGATTTTTTATTGAATTTACAAATTAAATAATTTATTGCTTTGAATATTAAGCCTTTGTGTTAAAAATCGCATAATAGTTTTATGTAATTTCATGTGATATAAAATTACATTTAATAAAATATAGAACATACTGGAATATTACGGGCTTAGGATAAGTAGTTTAATTTTAAAAAAATCAATGTTTAGAAAACCATCATAGTCAAACTTTTGTGTTAAAAGTTGCTTTTGCGATGTAATGAGTCAAACATTATTAATTTATCAAAATTTAGTACAAAAGGCTACAATCTTAGGGCATACAAGCACGTGTCTGTGCAATATAATTAATTTAATTACATTAAATTTAAATTGAATTGAGTGTTTGAGAAAATTGTATTCGAAATCGCAATGTTTAGATTTAATTGAAAGTGATAACTTTATTTTTGAAATAAACTGTTGAAATAATTTAGATCTAAATATTTAAAATTTAATTTTGATTGATTAAGTCAATTTTTACCACACATTTCGGGAAGTTCATGCAGTTTTCCTTAAGGTTAAATGCCACTTTCAACTAGTTTAATCTTCTATTAGGAATTAGTTTATAATTGCTTGCATGTGTATTGTTAGATATCTTTTTATTAACTTCTCGTAGGGCAAGTTATAGTAATCGCAAAAAAATCGAAAATGAAAATTTTTATATATCTTTACGTTTCAGAGGTTTTTGAGCATTTTGTCATACCTTAGAAAAAACGGATGTATGTGTGTGTGTGTGCGTGTGTGTGTGTGTGCGGATACAAATTTTCGTCGTCGATTTCGGGAACACGGATGAAGCGATTTGAATAATTAAAAAATCATTCGATTCGTATTGATAATAAGACGTGCTAATTAGTTTTTGGCGGAGGCAGGTCTAGCCGTTCTGAAGATACGGGGCAAAAAGTGCCAAAAACGGTAACTCAGTTTTTAAGAGAACGGATCGTCCGATTTGAATAATTCAAAAACCATTTTATTTGTATTAGCTGAGTGAATAACTGTTCAAATTTTTGGAGAGGCAGGTGCAACTACTTCGCAGATATGGAGGAAAAAGTAAAAAATGAGCCATTTGGCGGTCAAAAACAAACATTAGACATATGCACATCAAATAATTAGATATTTTATAGAGATTTTAACAATAAGTATAAATTTGTTTACATTTCTATGGGTTCCGTACCAATGTTTACGCGTTAGACGGCGACGCGGCGTTTACTCGCTTCGATATTTTGTCTTTATGCAGTTAAACCAGTACGATTGCTTTGAAAAAAAGTTCAAAATTTCCAAAATATTTTAAAATAAATGATTTAAGATAGAATGATTCGAAATTCTATTAAAAGTTTCAAATCATTGATCAACTTTTATTGATAATTATTGATTATTTTTAATTACTCGAATTTTGAATAGCGGTATGGGAAGTTCCAGCAATTTGCCTTAAGGCACGATGCCTTAATTGTCTTAAGACAGAATTCCACTTACAGCTAGTTTTCTCATACTGTTGCATATTATTTTCGCTGATAATATCTTTAACCTGTTTAACATTAAGGGACTGATTCTGCCGCAATGTTATGATAAGGTCATGTTATGAAGGATTTTCCATAGTAATATAGACAAAAGTTATGCGGTTGGTGTTCAGTCAGGCGAATTTCTCAGGTTTTCTGAAACAAAACATAACCTAAAAGCCGCACAAATGTCAAAAAAACGATGTTAGATAAGTGTGTGTTTCTGATTCCTCTTAGATAACATACGAGTGACGTTGCAGTTTATGCTTAAAACGCCGGAATGAACAGCAAATACATGATATTTTGACAGCATTCAGTATGATTCATTCGCATAATGTATGGAAGCCGGAGCGTAACATAGCTATGCCGTAACATTTCTCTGTTATGCGCAGAATCGGTCCATAAGAGTTGTATGTTGTGATTTTTATATTGGATATTACGTTTTACTATTTCTGACTAATTACAGCGCGGTACAGATTCCATAATTCTTCTTAACTTGTTTTTGCAGAACGCTATTTATGAATTACAATTTATACCAATAAATAATCATATAAACACAATCTAATCCTAAATACAACGTCTATATCTCAGTATCTATATCTCCTGTGTCAAAAGCAGTGGCAACAGTATCATCGTACTCGTACTAGGTGGCTTGGCTTCTGAATTCATTATCCAAATCCTGCTCCTGTATCTGGTATCTGGCCCTCGCAGGCCCTAGCCCTACGAAGGGAGACGGATGCCAAATCTTGGGCAAACAATGCAAGAACCTTGAGGCGGAAACACAGTTAACTAGTTACACTATTGTTCGAGACATGGGACGGCAGAACGGCAGAACGGCGGGACATTCAAATGTCTGAGATCTGTTCGCAACATTGCAAATTGAGTCATTAGCGGAATGCAGACTGAAAACCGCCGGACAATGATTCTTGGGGCGAGAAGTAGTTGTTGAGATTGAAATTTATGCTAAGGATGCGGTAAAAGTTGTAATTGTTTACTGTGTTTTGTGAAGTCAATTATTGAGGCTTTTTGAATTACGGCAGTTATAATAGTTATTTATTTATACATTCGGGTATCAGTCTGATGCTGCTGATAAAATGATGTGATATTGGAGGAAGGCGGTTTTAATACACCGAAAACACAATGCTTCTATAACATGTTTACGTTCAACGAACCAAATGTTTCTTCAGCGCAACCTATGAGTTTAATATACTTCTCATTCTCGACTATTTTATCTTTGACAATATTGGATGAAAATGCATAATTAAAAATATACATTAATATATTTTATAAATTTTATAATAAATTCTAAAATAGTTATATAATATCTCCTATTTTTTAAAATGCATATAAAATATTATGTATTTCTTTACATATGACTAAATGTTTGTATAACGAAATCAAATAAATAGAAAGAAAATATTTCACAATTTGTTTATATATTTATATGTGCATACAATTTTATATATGTGTACATCACCGGTTTTAGTAGTATCAGTGCTCTTTGTTATAGACTTTCTAAAAAAACTGCTAGAAATTTTTGGTGAGATTTTTTTTTAATATAACTTTTGTTTCATTTTTCATAATATCCTTATATAAATTTTTAATTTTAATAAATTAATTTATATTTTTAAACATACCATAATACAAACGTTTCAATCCATAAAAACAATTTATGGTACAAATGATATAATTTTTATTAAGTCTATATTTCTTTTAGCACGATTTTCATAAATTACATAATTCGCCTAGTTTGTACATTAAATATAATTTTATAGCGCGGTTTCCATATTACACGGTATGCAGTCAACTTTTTTTTGGAGTTTGAATTTCAATTTAATAAACGTGTATAAAAAATTATATGCATTTACATTTGACTAAATGCTTGAATAACGAAATAAAATAAATATTAAAAATATTGTTTACAATTTGTTTACATAAGCATATAGATACAGAATTTACATAAAAACTGTGTACATCAACGGTTTTAGTAGTGCCAGAGCCCTTTTACGGCATGTTAGTCTTTCAAAAAAAAAAAATCATCTAGCAAATTTTTTAGTAGAAAATATTTTATGTTTTAAATAATAATATAAAACTATTTGTATTGTTAATTTTTTTAAACTCAGCTTTAGTTTCATTTTTCATCGTATCCTCAAACTTTTAATACAATAAAAATAATTTATATATAACACCGTCTTTACGTGAACTCTTTACTTTGATATAAACAATATATAATTTATTTTATCTTTAGTATTTATTCGTTAAAAATAGAATTACAATGAATCTTAAATCAGAGGTTCTTATAGCACGGTTTCCATATTACACAGTACACACTCACCGCGTTTTTGAATGGTTGATTGTTAATTAATTTTGATATAAGATAGTATGTAAACAACTATAATAATGCTGTTATATTATATATAAAACTATTAATATGACATTCAATATAAACTGATAATTTTTTAGAGAATTTTAGAAATTTTCAGAGAATCTTTTTTATAGAAGATTCTCTCCAGCATATTCGAGCCTCATTCCCAAGTTACCATTTTTACTATTTAAAAAAAAATCTAGAAACTACCAAAGTGGTGAGAAAAATTATTTTCTTTCAACCTGTAGCCATTTTGTTAAACAAAAATTTTGACTTTTAGTATATGACATTGCGACATCATTCTAGATTTTTTTTTTATTTTGGATTGCTAGGAGGGTTCCGATTGTGGGCATGGTCACGTGTCCACTTTTTTTTGAGACCTACCATTTCAACAACTGCTAATTTTCAAAATTAACATTTTGACTTTTTTTCCGTGCTGTTGTAACGTTGATAAATATTTTATTAAAATGATTAAAATATTTGCCTTTTTTACAATGATTCAAAAATAACACATGATCTACACTAGAATACCTCCTTAAGTTGAATAAAGTATGTGTGAAATGGTGTGAACAGATTAGAATACATTTACAAAATCGTCCGATTTATTATATAAGAGATATGAATCAGCAAAGTTCATAGTTTCAAATATATTTTCAAACTCTCCCCGTAGTCGGTTGAATTGTGTGCACGAAAATTACGAATTCGTTGCGCGAACTTTACGATACTCCGCGCCTGCATACAATGTCGTAATATCGCTGCATAATACCTTTTAATAAAACAGACGAACAGAATAAGGGATAGCTACTACTACGAATAGCCCCGGCTACTAGCTATAGCCCCGGGGAGGCTAGAAGGAAAATATACATAACCGGGAGTTAACGAAATGTAAACAAATGGCATAAATAAATCGCAATGTCAGAACTGTGTCGGAGAGGTTAACATTTGCATTTATCCCGAGAGTTATGCCAGCGAGCGAGTGAGGGAAGTCTCCGAGTTAGTCGCTTAAGAAATATAA